GCGGTCAGAAATGAAGACCGAGGTTTGGGAACAGGAAATTCAAGGATCCTAAAAGGGCAGCTAGCCTCCACAGGTACAAAAGTGGTGAGACGGACACCCAAGGAGGGAATCAGTGATTTCCGCAGCCACGGTTGAGCTTGCTTTGAACAGATCTCCGTCAAACAGAGCCTAGGATGCCGTTTCTTTCTGCATTTTCTCTCTCGTCCTTCTAGATGCCCTGTTTCTCTCCTTAAAGGAGGCCCAGAGGTCTAGACCCATCTGAGTGAGAATTGTTTTTTTTTCTAAACTTTCTTTTTGGATGGCAGTAAATGTAAAGTGCTGCCCATCTATAGTTAGTTTCTTGCCATCATGTGATTTGAAGTAGTGAATCGGTGAGGACTTGGAGCGTTCTTAGCTGGTGGAGAAGGCTGCCCACAGGCTCTCATACAGTTTCCATTCCAAGGAAGTCGAGTGCAGCACAACCAAAGCCTGAGCTAACCCGTTAGGATTTTTGTGCATGGGAGAACTAATACCTTCACTTTCCAGCAAGTCAAACTTGATGTGATGGAAATGACTATGGAAGAGTTTTTTGACATAGAATTTCCAAATGCCAAGTCCTGATGTCCAAGTTCATAAGTAATTCTAGTTCATCTTAGTGAGGATTCTGGGGGAGAAAATGAGGTTGCCCTTTGCCTTATTTACCTCCTCAAGTTGAGAAGTCCGGAATGGCCCCTTATCTTGGAAAAGCATACCGATTTTAAGTTCTCCCCCTCCTTCCTGTTCGCCTTCACCCTCCTGACACTATTTTGGCCAGTTATTCCTATATTTTGAAAGGAATATATTGGTGAAATTTGGGAAGAGGATCTACTCTATGAAATGTTTCACTAAAATCATCAATTTTTAAAGTCTGTCTAAAAATAATTCATAGAGCGCTACTTGATGAATTATGCCAATTTTTTTTTTTTTCCTCCCAAAGCAGATCTGTGGCTCACTGCATTAGAATTGCCTGGGTGCTTTTAAAAACAGGTGCCTGGATCCTATCCTACTTTGACTGAAGTTGACTCTTGGACAGGGGAACCAGAATTTGCATTTTTAGTATAAGCTGCAGAGGATTATGGTTCAATGGAAACTTGAGAAATACTGCCTTTGAGTTTGGTCGAAGCTGAACACAGACTCCAGCCTGCACCCTCTGCTCTTCCCCTTAGGGTTCCTTAGAAAGAGGGTGTACCCATGAACAGTGATCCTGTACCTTGCCCTCTTGCTGAGTGGGGTTGCTGCTCCCCCTGGCTTGGGGACGGTACTTTTAAACCTCACGGGAAGGGCCTTGGGAGGAAGAAGAGTAGAAGAAAGGAACCCTAAGAGTGGGGCTACCTGAAGAAGCAGTGGGTGGGTCTATGCTCTTTCTATTCTTCCCCTCATGGGAAGCCAGTGCCCTCCAAGACTCAGGAGCAAACTAAGGAAAAGAGAATGAAGACTGACTCATAGCCTGCCTGGTCTGTTTGAAGCTATCTTCCACCTGCTGGAATTCATTCCAATTTGAAATCACTGGAGGCATGCATAATGTATGAATAGTGAACGAGCGAATGAACTTCGAATGCAAGTTGGATTCACAAAGCCATTATCATAGCCAATATGCAGAATTGAAATAGCGTCTCAAATTTCATTTGAACATGTCTTCTTTTTCACATCGCCTGCTGCAGAATTCCCTACTAGAATGTGAAACACGAACACCACAGAACTGGAGAACGCCCGTCACACCACTGAGAAGCGGGCCTTCGTCCCCCTGCACACGGGTGTGTTTGCTAGTGTTCGGTTGCTTCCTGCTCTGCTTCACAAGCTACATGTGAAGGGTCTCCCTTCGGTGTTGCCAGCCATATTCTCCAAATAAGACTTTTCAATTTAGTTACGAGTAATACAGTTTTATGTACATACACTACTAGAATCTTGTACAGAATCTTTATTTCTACAGTGCGCTTTCCTTGTTTAAAAAAAAAAAAGGAAAATGCTTTTTGATTTTTGTTAATGACCTGGTGGCCCTTAATTTTCCAGTTTCATTTCTCAGTCATGCCCACTGGTCATCAGTTTGTACCGATTCCAAGCTATGGACTATGTATGCAAGACTGAGCAATAGACAGAGGTGCCTAGGGTCGGAACACTCTGAATACACGGACCACCTGGATCAACGTCATCAGACCCTTCCACGTGCATATCTTTCCCAAAGGTTCACAGTTTATATTTAAAGGAGCATAATAATGTGTCAGTTCTCCTGTCCAGTCTTTGACAGCTGAACACCCTGGTTCTGGAAGCAATGTGACCATGCAGAAAATCCTATGAAAGCTCTTTGTGTTCCGCAGGGTCACCAACCTGTCCTTACAGGGCAGAGCCATCACTCTGAGGGCAAAGCATGGTTCCCCATGTGGGGTGCTTTAATATGCCAGGTCAAAGGAAAGAATCCAGTGGTACATACATGAACCCAGTGTTTGTACTGGGTTAAGTGTACATGTGAGCAGGATAGTCAAGCTCCTCTTTTTTGTTGCCAATGTGAAGCCTTTCCTGCCTTGTCTCCTTGTCTGC